AGATGCTAACCATAACACATTTCCTCTGTAGAAAGCAGAATGATTCAGTCTCCTTAGCATTACTAAGGAGGCAAGTTTCAAGGAGTTAAAGAGAACTAGCTCTTAAACAGATATGAAAGAGAACCTCTTCGTGACTCACAGCTATATATTGAAGCGAAGTTACACTACACAGTTAACAGTGAAACAGACACATGAGTGCAATGAAACATCCAAACAACACCCATGCCCAGGCAGCACTCGGAAGAATTGTCATCACAAAAGCACATGATCATCTCCAAGGCAGAAAAGACCTTTAACAAAACCCAGCATTGGTTCACGTGAAAAAGTCTGGAGAAAGTTATGATAGAAGGAACTTACTCAACATTGTAAAAGCTGTCTATGACAAACCCAAAGCCAACATCACACTGAGCAGAGAAAGATTAAAAGCATTTCCTCTAAAGATAGGAACAAGACAAGGATGTCTACTCTCACCCTTCCTATTCAGTATAGTACTTGAAACTCTAGCCAGAGCAATCAGGCAAGAAAAGGAAATTAAAGGGATACAAATAGGAAAAGAAATCAAATTATCTCTGTTTGCTGATGACAGATCCTATGTTTATAAGACCCCCCACCCCCCAAAAAAAAAACCCTCTATCAGAAGACTTCTATAGCTCATAAACAAATCCAGCAAAGTTGAAGGATGCAGATCAGCAAACAAAAATATCAATAGCTTTCCTATATACCAGTAATGAACCTGCTGAGAAAAAAGTATGTGGAATAAATATAAGCAATAAGGTTAAAGAACTCTACAATGAAAATTATGGGACATTAAGATAGAAATTGAAGACCTTAGAAGATCCATGTTCTTAGATTGGCAGAATTAATATCGTCAAAATGGCCATACTACCAAAGCCATCTACAGATTCATTGCAATTCTCATCAAATACTAATGACATTCCTCACAGAACTAGAAAAATGCCCTAAATCTGATAATGGAAAAATAAAAGACTGAGAACAGCCAAAGTAATTCTGAATAATAAAAGCAATGTTGAAGGCATCACAATACTGATGTCAAATTATACTACAGAACTACAGTAACAGAAACAGCATAGTTCTGGCATTAAAATATCCAGACAACCAATGGAGGGGCTGGAGTGTGGCTTAGCGGCAGAGTGCTCGCCTGGCACATGTGAGGCGCTGGGTTCCATCCTCAGCACCACATAAAAATAAACAAACAAAATAAAGGTATTATGTCCATCTACAACTAAAAAAAGTTGACCAATGGAACAGAATGCAGAGACAAATCCACATGGACAAGGTTATCAAATCCTTGACAAATTGAATTTTTTAATTAAAAAAATTGACAAAGTTGACAAAAAAAATGCTGGAGAAAAATCAATCTTTTAAATAAATGGTACTATGAAAACTGGATATTCATATATAGTAGAAGGAAACTAGATCCCTATCTCTTACCTTGCACAAAAATCAACTCAGAGTAGATAAAAGACCTAGAAATTAGACCAGAAATACTGCAATTACTAGAAAAAAAACATAGGGTCCACATTTCAATACATTGACACAGGCACTGACTTCCTTAATAAGACTCTTAAAACTCAAGAAATAGAACCAAGAATTAATAAGTGAGATGGCATCAAATTAAAAAGCTTCTGCCCAGCAAAAAGAAATAGGAGTGTGAAGAGCAAGTCTACAGAATGGGAGAAAAATCTTTACCAGTTACTCTTCCAACAGGGGATTAATATCCAGATTATATAAAAAACTCAAAAAAAAACTTAACACTAGAAATACAACCCAATCAATTAATGGGCAGATGATCTAAAAAGGCATTTCTCAAAAGAAATACAAATGGCCAACAAATGTATTTTTTAAAATGTTCAACATCCTTAGAATCAGGGAAATAAAAACCAAAACCACACTGAGATTTCATCTGATCCTAGTTAGAATGGCAATCATCAAAAGTACAATAGCTGGGGCTGGGGTTGGGGCTCAGTGGCAGATCACTTGCCTAGCATCTGTGAGGCACTGGGTTTGATCCTTAGCACCGCATACAAAAATAAATAAAATAAAGGCATGCTGTCCATGTACAACTACCAAAAAAAAAAAAAAATGAAAAGGGCTGGGAGCTGGGCACCATGGCACATGCCCATAATCCCAGTGGCTCAGGAGGCTGAGATAGAAGGATTGCAAATTCAAAGCCAGCCTCAGCAACAGAGAGAGGCTAAGCAACTCAGTGAGACCCTGTCTCTAAATAAAAATACAAAATAGGGCTAGGGATGTGACTCAGTGATAGAGTGCCCCTGAGTTCAATCCCCTGTACCNTCAGTGGCAGATCACTTGCCTAGCATCTGTGAGGCACTGGGTTTGATCCTTAGCACCGCATACAAAAATAAATAAAATAAAGGCATGCTGTCCATCTACAACTACCAAAAAAAAAAAAAAAAAAAAACAAGTAACTGCCAGGCACAGTGGCGCACCCCTGTAATCCAAGCAGCTTGGGAGGCTAAGGCAGGATGATAACGAGGTCAAAGCAAAATCGAGGCACTAAGCAACTTGGTGAGATCCTTTCTCTAAATAAAATACAAAATAGGGCTGCAGATGTGGCTCAGTGGCCTAGCACCCCTGAGTTCAATCCCCAGTAAACACCACCCCCCAACTCCCGGCAAAAAAAATACAAGTGACTAATTGCTGGTGAAGATGAAGGGGAAAAGGTATATGTATATATTGTTGGTATGAATGCAAATTAGTTCAATCACTTTGGAAATCAGTATGAACATTTCTCAAAAGACTAGGAATGGAATCACCATATGACCTAGTTATCCCACTTGGTATTTATCCAGAAGAACTATACACAGCATACTATAGTAATACATGCACACCAATGTTTATAGCAGTGCAATTCATAATAGCCAGTTATAGAACCAGTCCAGGTACCCACCAACAGACAAACAAGTAACGAAAATATGGTACAAATACACAATGTAGTTTTACTCCACCTTAAGAAAGAATGAAATTATGTCATTTGCTTGGAAAAGGCTAGAACTGCAGAATAACATGCTAACTGACATAAATCAGACTCAGAAAGTCATTTTCTTTCATATGTGGAAGCTAGAGAGAGAAGGGGTGGGAGGTTAGAAACACATCTTAAGAAAACAGAAGGGAGACCAACAGAGTAAAAGAAAGGGATTCTAGAGGGAAAGAAGACAGGAGGGCCTGGGGAAGTACTGGGAAGTGAAATTTATCAAATTATGCTGTGTCCACATATGAAAACACCACAAGGAATCATATTATAATGTACATATTATAATGTACTAATTAAAATAATAAGAACAATAATAACAAAAGAGATATGTAGAGTAGAGCAAGTGAATGGGGAAAGAAGGAAAGGAGGGAAAGCGGAGGGAAAGGAGAATGAGATTAAGCAAATTATGTCATGTGCACGTACAAACATGGCATAACAAATGCCACTATTATATATAAATAATTCTATTGCACCAGTCAGATAATGACATCACCATCACTGACAACTTACCATCATTTCTGAATTTCAGCCTGACTACAGAGCCAACGCCTCTTGGGAGGTGAGGATCCCAGCAATTGTCAAGTAATAAAGGCCCAGATTTAAGAAAAATAGTCGTGAAGAGAGTTAATTTGCAAGTCGTCATCCAACAATAGGAAATGACGAAGATTAAAATCTGCTAACATCAGTTTTTCTTTTAGTTCTCAAACTACAAAATTGAGAAATAAGAATGAAAGTACAACCCTTTCAGATCATAAAGAGCCATACCAAACTTTAGACTGCAGGATTATAGTGCATACTAAATGAAGAGGCCAAGGTTTGTTTGACCCCATCAATAGTTTTTAAATTAAGCACCCTTGGGGCTGGAGCTATAGTTCAGTGGTAGAGAACTTGCCAGCATGTGTGAGGCCCTGGGTTCCATCTCCAGAGCCACAAAAAAGTGATTTAATTAATTAGTAAAGCAAACCTGAAATAAAAGCTATCTACATACTGTATGACCATTCTTAATACTTCTTAAAGTTTAAAGTTTAGAAAAGCAAAGTGATTTGTACTTGAGGACAAAAATCAACTTTAGACATATTTGAAATATTTGGTGGGAGGATACACAATGTACAGTAAACATGCTGTAAAGTTCAAACAGTGGAATGGAAAACAATACCACTGGAGCAATGAAATGAGAGTACCACTTCATGCACTAAAACACAGCAGGGACAGACCATCTAAAAAACAACCAAATCAGTCTGATGCAGCTTGTCAAACTCCAAGGGAACAGGGGCAAACAGTTCCCAGTCCCATGTGTCCTGGATCAGATACAGAAGCCCAGGAGCTGATCCCTGGGCACTAAGAAGGGGAAAATGGCAGGGACCCCCCTCCCCAAGCTCTGTGGGGGACACTAGGGCACAGGCCTGAACCTTCCTAGTGCACTGAACCTGGAAATGCAAGATGAGGCTGGACAAACCAGCAAGACACAGAAAGGCATAATCAGATACAGCTCAAGTGTTTGCTGCCTCCTGCAGACCCTTTATGACACCTGAACTTAGAATCTATGATACTGTGACACACAGTACACTTTGAAAAAACAAACAAATCATGTTGTAATTTACTAAATTATCAATATTTTACTACTAACATATAGAGGAGAAACCCCAAAATGGATTCTTGTTTTCTTGGAAACTTTACACACAGAGCACCATTTTGTATCAGATATACTTTACAAGTCTTAAGATTTCATCATAATCTTTTGTTTTCAAAAAAGCTAAGTGATTTAGTAACTACTCAGGAACAACTGCTGCATAACCCTAGACAATGATGAAGTCAGATACATTCAAAACTGTACTGCAGTGAAATTTCTATAAAAATGGAAACAGTGAAATATACTTGAATATTTTTTAATTTGAAAAGCAAAGTGTTTTAAGTATCCTTAACAAGATGTCAGTGGGACATACATGCAAGTATCAAGTCCCCTTTTCCAGGCCACCCTGCTCACCTGGATGACTTTATAGAAATAGGCATACTGTCGAGCTGTGTTTTTATACTGGCTGAAGACATCATGGATAGCTTGTGTCGACTGAAGACACCGAACTTCCTCTTCTTCGAAGTAGAGGGGAGTGTCATATTCACTGGGGAGGGTCTGAATGTAGGGCTGCCAGAAAGAGTTGGGGCTGGCTCGCTCACACAGGAGGTGGAAGGCCAGCGCTATGTTTCCCATGGCTTGAAGAATCCGGTCTTGAGAATACAAGGGCCCTGAGTTAATCCAGAAGTGAGCAGTGTAAGTTCCACAGACTCTTTAAAAAGAATCATTCAAAACATACATGGAAATGATAGACAAAACTAAAAGATCTCATTGCATTTAAAGTCATGTACATCACTCTTTGGATGTAGAATGGAAAACATTTCATGCGAATTTAAAAGACTATTTCTCCAGTTGAGAAAACAACCAAACATGGCTCTTCGTGTCAAAATAGAATTTCATATATTTTTGTCACTTGCACTTTGCCTTAAACAAACAGAAATTATTCTCACCCAATACCGAATTTTTAGCAGATTCAACAGTCATTAGTAATTTTCGGGGAACCCATAAAAATAACTCTTCTGCCTAAAAAAAAAAAAAAAAGAACAAAAAATAAATAAAAATAAAAATAGTAGACTCATCAAAACATGTTACAACCTTCAATCCAACTTTGTGATCAGAAATTGAATCACACATGAACTTCAACTTAAGGTTGTGTATCAGCACTTCTTTTCTCAATATCAGATATATTTTACAATGTAAGCATTTATATCACAGTTAAATGAGTGGAGGCACAGTTTAAAATTCTATTTCAAGTAGAAAAACTGAAAACTAAATATACTGTGTGACTATCTATACCAAGAAGGCAAATGATCAAAAAAAGAACTTTCAACTTTAATTTGAAGCAAATATAACATTTGAAGTAGGGCACAAAGAGTGTTTATTTTATTCTCTGTTGCATATATATATTTTAAGTTGTAAAAACAAAACCAAACAATTCCTGTCTCCAACAAAAACCATGTCTGCCACTATGAACTGCTCCCGCTGTAAAGGCACCCTCCTCTCCAGCTGTTCAGAGCAAAAGCACAAGCCCACCAGAAGACAGACTTTGCTTTACTAATATTTTCCCCAAAGGACTATCTTATTTTCTGGCAAAATGGAATTTTTTTGGCTTCTTTTTGGCATATTCTCTCTCTGTATCTATACTGCTTAAAACACGCACACAGGTCCCCAGGCCAAGCTGGCATCTGATTGTGTACTTTCCAGCCTTCAGAACTGTGAGGAATAAGTGTCTGCCATTTAGCTTCCCATACCCCAAAAGGATACAGGTACAACAGACCACAGCTGAGACATTCTGGGCAGCAACTACAGTAATAAGGCTTCCCACCTGACACACAAGAAGAGTGTGTGACATCTGGCCTTAACTAATGTCTACTATCTGAATTATTTTATGTGTCTTGTCCCATACTATAGATGATAAGCACCATGAGGGAAGAAACTCTGGAATTTTTTTGGAAATCTGGTTTAACAACAAAGAAAATACCATTCACATAGGAGATATTAAACTTAGTGAGTACCTAATACTCACTAATACCTAATGAGGGTATGAGCATTTCAATGAAAGGTTAACTTCAGCTTGACCAAAACTCTTGCTGGAGGACTGAGAGGCCCAAACACATAACACCCATTTCCTCTAACCAAATTTGGAACCAAGTGAGAGACAGAGAGAGAGAGAGAGAGAGAAGAATACAAGAGATGGTCACCCAAAGATATCACCTGCTGAGCCCCAGAAATAGACTGCCCCCATCTAGTCACAAGCAGCACTGTTCCCATAGCCCCTCAGTGTGCCTGCCCCTATGAAGCTGGTGGGGTGGAAAGGGCAGAGCAGAACAATGGGCAAGCAGCTCCCACTGAGGAAAAGGCCGAGCCCTGTTCCATCTCCCAAACAGGCAAACAGGCTGAGTCGGCTTTCTCTTCAGGAAAGGCCTAAGTGGCAGGCAGGGGAGGCCAGAAGTGCCAAGTTACTGCTGCTCCCTTCACATGCAAGGAAGGACCCGGCATGGAGAAGAAGCACTTCCCCTCTACAGAAGCCGAATTCTCATCTCCTCTCCCTGTTGCCTCCGCTACGGTGTCTGAATAGTGGTACTTTCATCCACGCAGTTACCCAGAACGCCAATCAGCACCCTCGGCACTGCCCATTCCACCAGCCCCACCTCTGATCTGTCACAAGTTCCTGTGTGCTCTTTTTTTCTTCACTTTTCTTCTTCAGTTAAATCTCAAATGCCATGGGGCATGCTCTATGGTCTAACAGAGGCTTGGCCATGTGAACTAACTTGTGGCTCCGCAGGAGGAAGTACTGGCAGGGCTGAAGCTCTTCTAGGCCTGCCCACAAGAGGGGGCAGGCTGCCTGTCTGGCCACAAGGTCAAGGACAAGCCCCAGGCATCTACACCACATTCTGTACCCTCAACACACCATGGTTCAAATGTTTTTGGACCCTCTAAGACCAATAGTTTATAAACTCACCTTGATGTCTCTTGTTGCTCTCAAACCAAAGCCCTCTTCTTTGAAGTTGACCATTTCAAAACCTTCGACAGAAGCCCCATTTTCAGAGGCCCATTTCATTAGATCGGGAAAGTAATCTTCTCTTTTTCCATCAAAAGTAACAGACAGACCTATATTGTCCATGTTTAGAAAACAAGAGATGCTTTTAAGACACAAATCACTCACATGGCTTTCAGAAAGTAGAAGTAGAGCACAATTCACACCAGATCCGGTCCTAACTTCAATCTGGAAACCAAAATGAATAATACCCAGACAGTCCTAGAGTACACCTTAACAAGCTCCAGGAAAGGCAAATTAAAATCTCCCTAGCCCATCAGTTGTAGAGGGACAAGTCCTGGTACTAGGAACACGAGGTACAATTAGGTAACATGATGGAGGGGAGAAAAGCTTTGCTGCCACTACCGATGGCTTGGCACAATGCTTTCCCCTCACAAGCCTAGCAGGCCTTCACTCATATTCACACTGGCTATTTAAACAAAAACCAGCAGCTCACATGTGTGCCCTCGAGAAGGATGGGAATGCTCTACAGGCCTGAAGATCTAAGTTAGAGCACTACAGAAAAATCCAGATGAAGCAGACTCCAGGTATCAGTGTAAACAAAACTCAAAACATAATGTGTTTTTTAAAAAATCAAGGAAGTAGACACCATGTAGATAAATATTTTAAATACCAATTACAACCATGTATGGCTGTATCTGAAGTTCCATGGGGTTACACATGAGGAGGGAATATATACAATGGGATGGAATTGAGGGGCTCTAGCTGTAGCTATGTTTTATTACTTATAAAAAATACAAGGGGCTGGGGTTGTGGCTCAGCAGTACAGTGCTCGCCTAGCATGGGCAAGGCCCTGGGTTCGATCCTCAGCACCACATAAAAATAAATAAGTAAAATAAAGATACTGTGTCCAACTACAACTAAAAATAAATATAAAAAAWTTTACAAAGGATGGAAGGGAAGTGAACGAGCAGGTGGAAAGAAGGAGGAAAAAAAACGGAGAACTTATTCAAAGCAACTTTTTTTTAGCATGTGCTCAATCTGGGCAGTAGATTCTTAACGCATCTGCTATACTCTGGATTTTTCAGCATGCTTGAAATATTCCAAAAGAGGAAAAGTTATGCACAGGAAAAACCACTGTGTCCTGATAAACGTAGGGGGAAGAACAGGCACTTTATTAGTACTAGGAGCTGGGCGAAGAACAGGTGCCTGTGGCATCTCACCCCATGTAGGTGAGGTTGCCCAGCACACTGGTGTGCTGTGCCAGATGCACAGAAATACCACTAAGACTAATGACTTGAGGTGGGGATCGTCTAGACAGGATTTTCTCTTCCCTCACTGAGACTAATAAGTGATCTGTCTTTAGTGTCAGCCATAGGAAGCAATATTTTCTCAGAAGAGAAACTCAAGAAATACAAACATTATTTGGGTGCCTATTTGGTGAGAGAGGACTAGCACCATCCACTATTTAGTGTAAGTAAACACATTATAAAGGAACCTGTTCATCACTTCAGACCACTCCAGCTAAAGACTACATGTTTACAGATGTGTACAGCAGATCATTAGAACATCATTTAATACAGCATATAAACAACCCTCTTCTGACTCCTTTCCGTGACAGTAAGAAATGGAATCTGAGAAGATTTGCCCAAGTCTTTTCCACTGCATGCTTACATTTTCTCTTTCTACTTTCTGCATGGTTCTGCATACCAATCTTCACTTTTTATGCTTTATAGAACAAAAACAATAGGTATAGTGAATAAGCTGACAACCTGACACTTGGCCCCACTACCCGCCTGGCTGAGAGTCAGTAAGATGGTTGCTAAAGCACAACACAAGTGAAGGTGCAGCTCAACCACTACTTGACTAACTCTCTTTCAGTTAATCAAAATGTGTTGGAGTTGATCGTAAACACATAAGACATTAGCCAATCAGCGTATTCTCTGTGTGTTGTTATATACAGTATTATGCATAGTCCTGAAATTCAAAAGGAAACAGCATGAAAACAAGATTTAAATACATATTTCATGTGATAAAAATATATAATATTTTTATATATAAAAGTAGAGTCATTTTAGCCCCCAATATAAAACATTACCTCCTGACCCCAAAGTTTCACATTTTCACCCTGTGCTCTCAGAAATGGGAACCATCTCCCAGGGCCCTCTCCTTCTGGGTTTCAAGGAGCCTTTCTACAGATGGGCACAGATGTCATGAGACCTATATTACTCTCAAAACCTTCTGACCCATGCCAAGTTTCCACAGGACGTTATTAAAATATGATTATCGGGGCTGGGGTTGTGGCTCAGAGGTAGAGTGCTTGCCTCATATGTGTGAGGCACTGGGTTCAATTCTCAGCACCGCATATAAATAAATGAATAAAATATCCATCATTTAAAAAATACACACACACACACACACACACACACACGATTCTCATTCTAGCAATTTACCTTTCTGCTTTTTCCGTATTTTCTCAACCAGAGATCGGATTTGTACATACTCTTCCCATTCCTTTCCTGGGCCAGGTGTAGGACTGCTACATTCTGTAACACAAGAGTCACAGTGTAAAACATTCCTCTCCTTCAACTTAATCCACTAGACAGCAGAAGAAAAGAAAGAGGATTTGGATTTTGTCATTGTCTCGTGGTTAAAGGACAGAGTTACTACAGCCACAATAATAAATGTGTGCAATACAAAGCAGGAACACTTCTCAAAGCCTATAAACTCTCTGAATCCCCAAAGTGCCCCTCACTAAAATGTGCTCTGGTGCCCCCATGAAGGCCTAGCTCCCATCCAACCAGTTCTTGCTATTCTAATAACTTTCCTCAGAATATACTTGTAAACCAGTAAAATCTAAAAAAAAAAACTAAACAAAAATGCAAAATATTTCCCCAGAACCCCTCTAGATGGTAAACAGAAGGTAATATTAAAAGTCAACATGTCTTCAGTTAAGCCCCATGATGATGGCTCTTTCAGGAAATCAGTCAATTGGACATAAGGACACTACTAAACAAACACTGCACATGCCTGTGTATAGCACTATATTAAGCACTCTGGGGTAGTTACAAAAGAGGTGGCATAGTCCTTGCTCAACAAGCATCTCAGACTCTACTACAGAACCGAAAAAACGTCAATCAGGGCTGGTCCTTTTGGAAGGCCACAAGCTGGCTTTTTGTTTCTTTAATATGGCACCAGGTTAGAGAGAACCCTCCTGTGTCCCTACCCGCCCATTTGCCCTGTGTGGACAAGAGCACATCTGGCAAATAATCAACATGAGCTGGTTAGACGCTGGATGCTAACTATTAAGGATGACCAGTCTGACTTCATTCTTCGCTAGTCAGCACTGACTGGGGTCTGGAGTAAGGTGGTGAAAATGACAGGAGCCTATCCAAAAGCAGGGCAGGCGCAGCAGGGGGAGACAGATGATGGGTGGTAAGGACAGCTGAGCCCTGCGGCGGCCCACAGGAATCACAGAGCATTTGGGAAGGACCTGACCCCAATTTGGCTGCTGCCTGCTTTCCATCAGGGAGRAAAAGCTGAATTTTCATATGAAGTTTAGCTGTCATATGATCTGAACCTAAGGGGTAAAAATCAATGGAATGATCACAGTTCTGAGACATCTGCAGCACAACTTGAACTCACAATTTTTAAAACTCACCAAATTATAGCAGCTTACTAAAGTAAGCACAGGCACTAAAGATATTTCATTTCTTTGAACAATGAACTCTCAGATTTCAGCATGTGAAAATCAGGAGCATTATTGTATAATCACTGAAAATAAAACGAGCCATTCTAGAAGGGCTACTCCCTGAGAAGCAGGATGGCTGGCCTGGGCTGTCGGCTGGCATACACCCTGCATGCAAGATCTCATGAGGTCTGTGTCACACTCTCAGAGACACCAACCCGTGTTTACTGAAGATCACTTGAGCCTCAAGGCTTCCGTGGCTGTCCGAGGCTACACTGCTAAAAAGCAGTGGAGCTTGTTTTTTTCCATGGGTCCCCAGGGAGGTCCAAGGTGTGATGTCTGGGCTGCAGAGGCTCTGCATTCAACAGTGACATGTCCCAACTGGTACAGTACCCCCCATATCTTTACAGAAGGGAAAGGCTGTAACTGCCTGGGTCACGTGGCTAACAAGCTGGGAGTGGAACCCGAGGGACACTCTCATCCTCAGGAGCCTGACACCCACACTGGACATGAGGAGCAGAGAAAGGCACGACCATTGTGTCCCCAGGGATAGCCAAGGGGCACTTACTCTGCAACAGTTCACTGGTCAGGTTTAAGATTTCCTTCGGAGACACAGTGGCTGTAGCCCCAGTGCCTGATTTCTGAGTTTTTACTCGACTCTTCTTACCCATTTTCTGACTACAAAACAGAGAAGACAAAAAGAAAAAAGTCACATTAACAAAGAACAAAATCAAGTAATAAAATATAGCATGGCAGCGTCTTCATCTTGAGATGCTAAAATCTTACCACTCACATGCCAGGTCCTGAGGTTTCCTTCTAGAAAAAGAAATGTGTAAATTAGTCTCTGAAGGCTTTCAAATAGGAAAAAAAAAATCTTCATGGCAGTCTCTGGAAGAAAAGTTTATTCCTTTTCACTTATAAGAACTAGAGTAGAAGCAAACTGTACTCCAAAATTGTTTAATTGTGCAGAGATTATCATGTAAACTAAAATGTTCACACTTCAGGAACAACAGTGACAAATGTGCACTGCACATGTGTGTACCAGAGACATCACACTACCATAAGGACACAAAGACCTAAATATTCTCTATCCACTTTCCTTTAAAAGCATCTATTCCTAGGAGCAGTAAGTATCAAAAGTGACAGATCAGAATTTACACAGCTGAAAACCTTTTATACAGCTAGTCTAATTCCAATATGCCATTCCATGGAGAATCCTGAGTGCCTTGCCCATGGCATTCCAGGAAGTCCACATAGACCCTGGGCTTAGATGAGGTCTAGCAGGTCAACCACTCATGAGTCCTGTATCACTGGACACATGAGCAATGACTAGAATATGAGATAGTGTGACACAGAACTATCTCAGGGTAAACACATCTATGCGATGATGTTTGTCTGAAGACATTTTATAACATTGTCCTGAAGGAAATAAGGAGTTTGGATGTGAAAAGCATCCAAATTGGGCAATCCAAAGATGGGACAGGATTGAGCAAAGCATGAGGCCTCTGCAGGGAAGCCAGAAGCAATCCGGCCAGCTGAGAGGACTGGGGCTACTGCCTGGGAGTCTGAATGTGACTCTCAGGAGAGAAGAATATTAGTTAGGGTGGCGACCCAGGAAGATGAGACAGTCCAGCCAAGAGTCAGTGGAGCAGTGAAGAGCAAACCATCCCAGCAACCTCCTTGGCGCAGCCCCAGCCAGCACACCACGTGTGCTCTCAAGGAAGCACCAACAAGTAATCTTTGGACCATTTATTTGTTTAAAAAAAAAAACAAGGTAGGTGGGAGTATAGCTCAGTGGTAAAACACATGCTTAGTGTGCCCAGGGTCCTGAGTTCAATTCCCAGCACCAAAGGGGAAAAAAAAAAGAAAAAAAGAAATGACTATTAAAGTGTGGAAAACTGTGACAACAGGTTTAGAATGCATATTCTCCAGTTAAATAGATCACTGATTCCATTGTAACTGAATCCATGGAAATAAGGCTATGTACTAAAATAACAGGAAAGAGCATTGTTTACTAAGACGTGTACCTTTTATAATGTGTAAAAAAATAACACATGACTCATGGATCTAATAAATCTTCTAAAAAACAGTGCAAAATATCTTGTCAGTCATCCTGCAATAAAAGGGCACCAGTAAAGATGCGTAAAACTGTTGCAGAATTAAAAGGAATTGGACAAAAGCAGAAAAAGATGAGTGAGGGGAGGGCAGGAGGAGGAACAGCTTAGCACAGTTCCCACACCAAAGGACTGTCTTCCAAAAAGGAAAATGCCCCTTCCCTGTCATTACTCACTCAAAGCCAAGAGCAAGGGCACAGCCTGGATAGAGTACCTCCACCCTCTAAACTTCAGACCCTGCAGTAGCCGTGGAAGGCATCTCTACAGAGGACCACTGAACTCAACCTGAAAACAACCCAAGCCTCCACAGAGTCAGGTAACAAGGACTTTACTCACTGCTACATACAGTGGCTCTGCTGGCCTGGCAGGAAGAAATGCTGCTGGTGCTGGCTCAATGGCCTTTCCCTTCTGCCCTGCTGACACCCTTCTGTCATGTGACAGCCTGTGAACTGCTTAAGAAGGGCACTTCCATGAAGAGCTGCAAGATCCTCCCCTTCCCTGAACAGCAAGGGCCTGTGGCGGCACGCTGCTCTGCCCCAGCCTGCGCAGCACACACCCAGGGCTACACAACAGGCTTTTTCACTGACCCACAGCCCCTCACCTCTCCACCAACCCTCAGCATGCGCCCAAGGCCAGTGGCTTGTAACAGCAGTGGCCACAGCTGCCCTGTATTCGGTGCCTGTTCTCTAGGCACAGGAACAGAAAGAGCTCCTCTTGTGACTTTCCCAGATGCTCTGGGCAGTTGACATCATCACCCTGACATTCTCAGGAAGGTCAATCTTTCCTCTTTCCAAGGTCACACATCAGGTGAGAGGCAGTACTAGAATTTGAACTTAGCAGCACTACCACCTGCCTCTGTTCACGTGCAGGGAGGAAGTGCATGGCATTCCAGAGTTCCAAAGGGCTAAAAGGTCCTGACCAACACTACTGGATTATGTCCCTGGCAGTGGTCACTCAGTGCATCTGAGTGGCTCCAGCCACCTTCTTCTAACCTCCTTCCACACCCTTTTGAGCTCATCCTCCTGTTTAGACCCTGACACTAGTCTCTTATGAATGGCCCTGGCCAAGCCCCCTCCTGCTGCTTGCATCTACCCTCATGCTGCCACCCACCTGCCAGCACCTTATGTTCCAAGAACACCAAGGACTCCCAGTCCCTCACACAAGCTCTGGCACATGCCTTGATGCACCTGTCCTCTCCTTCCCCACCCCCCTCGCATGCAACATTTTAGTAACATGTCCACAAATTCTGCATCCCCTGAGAGCCCTGCTGGTCCTCCTGGTCATGACCTTCTCTCCTCTACACCTCTGGGAGTTCTTGTAGATCTTACAGTGGGTTGGAACCCACTGTGTCAAGACTGGCTCAAACACCAGACACCCACTCCAGACAAGAGAATCTCTGAGGGGGCTTCTCTGCTTTACTTACTTCCCTATCCCAACCTCTAACCCAGAACTCCACACACAGGCGTTCTTAGGTCAGGTCAAAATCTTCATTTCTGAAGCTTCTACCCAGGTTTCTACTTCCTTGGAACTTACAGAAAATGTTGAATTATTGCTCCAAGTGAGGGGCCATTAAACATATGACCACCATGATTTGAAAACAACAGATTCCTTTGACAGCAATTTTCTTACAGTAGAGAACTTACAACTCAAATTGTTCACATTTCTTTATTTTCTTCAGTCAGAAAACTGCTAGCTTCTAGAAATACCAGTAGATGTGGAAATGCAACAGAGGCAAAACTTCAAAACACATTAGCAAACTAGACCCTGAAGACGAGGTATGCTGGCTGCCATCTTCAGAAGTCCTGCGGGCTGTTTACAGTCACCTGCCCAGGCAAGACCCTGCTGGCCAGCTCTTTAAATCCCCACTCACTCCTCTGCCTCTGATCTCCTGCACCACACTGCCCACGGTTAGCCCTAAAAAAACCTGAAGTATAAAACACGGCAGCAAAGTACAGATCCACGGCTCCTCCACTGGCCTGCACAGCTACCACCAGCAGAAAGGCAGGGAGTGCCCAGAGCAGGCCAGCCCTTCTTCCAGCCCCTCCTACTCTAGACCCACACCGAGAAGTAGCCACTGGTTTGGCTTATGTTACCATTGATCCGTCCTCCTGTTCTTGAACGTCATACAAATGGAATTACATACTACGTAGGTTTCTTGTTCTCAATTTAAAGTTTTTCCCCAGCTCAGAGGATAACACCTGACCTCCCTAGCAAGGCCTTGGAAGGGTGACTTGCCTCAACCCCCTTTTCTGTCTGGCTTTCCTCTGCCCATCCTTTACACAACATGGCTCCAGAAGTTTGCCAGTGTTCATCCCTTTTTCTGGCATGGAGTCACCCCTTGTCTATGCCCTTGTCTTCTCCTGGCAAAATTTTCCACAAACTTAAGTCCCCATCAAAATGTCCCCAATGGCTCTAGAGGAAATTATAGGCTCTTCCTTGCAGTCCCTACTCCCATGAAAGTTCCTTAATCCAGGAAGAAAGGGTTAATCAAATTTGAGGTCATTAACAGATGCTAAAGGCTGGGCTTATCCTGGAGTTCAGTCTATTAGGCTTTTTGGACTCTTTCCCTCCCACAGGGATATAGCCCCTAAGGGAGAGAAAGCTCTGACCCTAGTTTAGGCAGGAAGAATCTTCATCTTAATTAAGGGGGAGGAGAGTTACCTATCCCTGTCCCCAGAGAATGCTACTCCCTAGGGCACAAGATCCTAGGTCCTGCTATCTCTTAATCTGTTCTACCCAGAGACAGGGTTCCAAGGTTCTGCAGTCCAAAGAGCTCCCAGAGTTCTCAGCACATTGAATCCAGACAGCCACAAACACATGGTCTAGCCTTTACCTTTAAGAACTTAGTCTCTGGAGGAAGGGACTACTAATTCAGGTGCTCCTCTAACCTTAGGGCCACCGATGTCTATAAGATTTATCAGCTTCTGGGTTGGTCTGGCACTGTATTCTAGTTATTTGTGGGACATTCCTAACTCAAAGCACCTGGAAGGCAGGAGCCTCAAATTAACCTGTTTTCACCCCCCAAAACATCAGGCTCTCTGTTGCACTTTGCCAGCTCCCCACACTTTGCCCTCTCTTGGCCCCTGGTCTGGTTATCATTCCCAGTTCTACACACTTCTTACCCTGTTACTCTGGCCTGGATACCCTTAATCCTTGGCCTCACCACAGGGTCTCCCACCCCACACCTCCAAGCATAGCTCAGAGCCTTTGTCCTCACCCACTGCAGTATAAATTACTTTTATGCTCATTTAACCTGTTGTCTTGTGGCAGGAAGAAACTAAAGTGTCCAGCTCTATATTATCTGTAGGATCAAGTGCAGCAACATGGATACAGTAGATGGTCAAATGTCTGCTGAAAGAAGAAATCTTTGCACATCATATTTGGATATATTAGTGTTACTAATTATGCCCACCATGAAATGAAACACTGGACTAAATATTTAACAGTTCCACTAAAGAACCAGMATAACTCTTACAAGTAAAAATGAAAATGTGTGTATATAGAGATGAATAGATAGGTGGGCCATGCCATGGGGATTAAGGTTAAGGTACAGCTTATACAATATCACACTTAAAAATGGGTTTCTTTTGGAAAACCAGAGCTTAGGATATTAAATTCAACAATGAACTGAAAAAACAAACACAAATTTAGAAAGTGTTTTTGGTTTCTTCGAAGCCAGCAAAATTCTTTGTTTGAAGGCAA